GGCTCTACTACTTCTTTAATTAGGGATGCTCATAAAAAAATACATTGTGCATTCTCATAATGATTTTATTGTATTATATAAGTTTTATATGAACTTGATGAATGTTAGTTGTTTTTTTTTTAAAACCAGTATCACTATGTAACAGTATAAAATATATTCCTACAAAATGTTGCACAGACACCCATTTTATTATTTAAAATTTGCAAAGACCCCCGACAGTGACATTTCCATTGGGGGTCGGGTGGCCAGAGGGGTAGGTAAAAACCTTGATGTTTATGGAGAATACTGCAAGGCCCTCCATAGAAAGCACTAATTTCCCTGCAGCAGTCGTATAGCCTTACAGTGGAAATCACGTAGCCTTACAGTGGTAGCTCCAGTAAGTGTCAGGCGTAGGAAAATTAGGACATTTAGAAAAAAAAATGGGGTATATTACTAAGACAAAGTAATAGACAGTGAAATTCCAACATAGTCAGTCTAAGTTTTTCCATAAAGATTCTATCTTTATTTATCAAATACAAATTTTTCGGGGGCGGGGAGGGTGACAATTCCACTTTGACTAAATGTATAGCTCCTCCAATTTACATTCATGGTCAGATTTCCCAATAGGCAGAATAGGACATTTTTTTCAGAACTTATACTGTGCCTTTGATGGTTGGGAGAGATTGTACAAGGAGCCTTGGTCAGTGTCCTCTAAAGTTCAGTCCGCGTCCTGCAATTGAAAGCAGAGCTGCAGAAACAGTTATAGATGGTGTAAAACACAGTGCTGTCCCAGCCTCCGGTGTCTGTGTGTGAGGCTGGACAGGAAGTGGAAGGGATCACTTCCCATCTGTAGACTAACAGCCTCTAACACAGGAAATGCCTTGCAGGAGGATCAGGGACAACATTGTGTGATGTACAACAGCAAGCGGTCTCTGACTGGAGACTCACGACCTTGGAGGACTTAAGACTCCAAAAAAACTTGAAGATCAGGAGCATCTCAGAGCACGTCCCGGCAGCTAAACTTACGCACCTCCTAAAGAGGCTACTGGCGGCCTTGCCGCCACCAAAGCAGGCCAAGCATATCTCCATAGACAAATTCTTCAGAGTTCCGAAGCCTCGGAAAGCCCCTAGTGTTGTGCTTCCAGAGTAGCAGTGACAAGGCCCTAAAGGGGACTTCTCCATACATATTGGAGAATATGGAACTTACTTTTTTCTCTGATCTATCTGGAGACACACTGCAAGTGGCAGAGGTCCCTGCACCCACTCACCATACTCCTTAGGAACCACAACGTCTGCTATAGATGGCGCGGGTCGAGGACCCTTTGGGTTCTGCATGGCAACTCAGTCCACCCTGACCAAGACCTATGAGGCACTGTGAATCTCTTGGAAACCCTAGGCCTCCCACGGGACTCTCTGTGTCAAACAGGGACATCGGTATCTAATGCAACATCCCACAATTGGGACCCGGCGATTATCACCGTTTGTCCCTCGTAGGGCCTTTACGGACTCCTATGCTGCGGCCACAACCTGAAGCTACTAACAGATAATAGTTTGCAAATTTAAATTGCACCAGGCTATATGTAGCACCTTACTTTATGTTCAGTTTGTATCGTGTTTACTAATTTCTTAGCCTGATATTTTGGTTGTCCAAAGCTATTAGCCTGACTCGTTATCTTTAAGGGTTGGCCTCCCCACTAACACTAATACCCCCCCCCCTCCCCTAACCCGAGGTTACTCATAAAGCCAAATCTATACCTGATCCAGAGGCGTAAATCTCTTTGACCTAGCAGCCTACAGGTCTTAGTTCATCTCATTTGTCATCATACTATAAAAACAGTGCAAAACACTCTAGACATGTCACGCTACACCCCAGATATTTATCTGTACTAAACCTGTACCAGCTATAGAGATCTACACACGCATATATAGTCAGCGGAGTTTAATATGATAATGTGCCGATTTTGCAACCACTTTGTTGTTCATTGTTTTAAATGTGCTCACTAGCGCTGTTGTGTCTTGGTGATTTTCTTTGTTATATGTATCCTTGTGCACAACAAAAATAAACACACCAAGTACCTTAATAGTAAATTGTAAAGGGTTACTCTTAGTACCATGACCACTTGATTTGAAGTGGTCATAATGCCTGGAGTCTGTATGTCTGTTGTTTTTCAATGCATATACAGAGATTAACCGCTCTGCTGCCAGAGGTGTAACTACAACTTCAGCAGCCTGCCTCATTGGGGTGTCATTAGGCAGCCCAGCACTAGAGTTCTGGGCTGACTAATGTCAATTCTGTGCATAGAATTGCAGTCATTAGCTGAGAGTGACCTGCTGACACTTTCTCAGCCAATGAATGACTGGCAAGATTGGCATCTGGCTCTGTAGCTCTGCAGAAGCTGAATGCACGTCACATCCAGTAATATAGGACAGCTGGCGCCCATCCAGAATAGGCTTGGGTACAGAGGATGAGTGGGGGGAGGCGGAGCATCGGCCTCGGTCACCGCGCCCCGTGGTTCCCCCGAAACCGCCCGATCCGGATGCTTATCGCTGTCCTCCAGCTGTTCATGGGTTGGTTAGATGTATGAAATCATCGGAAGGCACATGGCCAAGTCAGTGAAACCATCGCTGTGTGTACTTGTCCATGTCATTTGGTGACGTTACTTTCAGGTCTTCGATTTCCCTTGTGTCTTCCACCTCTTCCACCCAGCACTTGAGGGGAGGTGTGCACGGTTGTCTCCAAAAGAGGGGGATGATTGCCTTTGCAGCGTTAAGGAGCCTCAGGATTACACACCGTCTGTAAACTGGCATGGTGTAAGAGGAATGGGGCTGGTGACAGTGGTAGAGATTAATCTGTCACCTCCCGTATCACTCTTCTGACTCCCAGAAAGGTTTGATGAGGGCACAGTCCCCTTTGTGGCTTACTGTGCAAGTGCTGATTTCTGCTTCTTAGGAATTTTCCTGGCCTTACATCAATATCCACGAGAGGAAGTCTTCTGTGAAGCTTTTGTTAGAAATAGCTGCTGTTGTAGTTCCTGTTTCAAGCAGTACATTCCAAGATACTGATCCTAATTGTTGACTTTGTTGCTGAACTAACAAATTAAAAATGACGAGAGGAAGAAGTTGCCATTGTGCCAATTCCCAGTGGACTAAGATCCTATGATGAACATGAAGTATCTTGATGTCACACAGGGCAAAGAATGAACTCGGTCAATCAGCTAGACCAGGAGCTCCCAACACAGTGTTCAAGTACCTCCGCCCAGTCCAGGATTTAGGGATTACACTGTTGTGTCTAAAGAGTTTTATTTTTTCCTTCTTCTAAAAACACCTTTGACAACTGGGTAATCCCTAAATCCTGGACTGGGAACCACTGAGCTAGACAAACTATGATCCTTCTGTAGTGTTGACTTTTGCAGAAAATGATCATCTACTCTAGATGTTCTATTCGAACAGGGTTAGTTACTAAAGTGAGAATTCAAGGAGATTTCAAATTAAAAAGTCAAAACGGTCTAACTGGAATCATACTCCAAGTCAGCTATGCTAGCCTTAAATTTGAAATTTACTTAAAATTCATCTTGAATTCTCACTTAAGTGAATAACCCTGTAGAACTTCAAGAAGATACTTGGACTGATGGTCTGCCAGTCAGGTGCTACAATAGGATTGTTTTATAAATAACTGAAAACACTAATGCTCTATGTGACGGAGGTCCACAATACTGATTATAAGGACCAGAGGAAGTATTCAAGGGACCTTGCAGAGTCCAGTTGGAAGCACTTTAATTAAAAAATGCAGGACAAACATGGTAGACCTAGGAACTGTGGTGGGTTGGAGTAGTGAAGACATGGAAGTACATTTCCACCTATCTCCTGACCCCACTACCATCAAGTTGGCCAAGAAGAAAACTGGGTGGGCGGGGGGTGAAATTAAAGTCCTTTTCCTCTTTGGCTCCCTGAACATGAGAAAGGGGTAAATTATTGTTTTGTTATGAGGAACTCCCAGATGACTATGTATTAAGTCCAAATGATTTTGGGAATTGAGATCTTATTCTGACATCTGGAAAGTGGGCTTGGAGACTCCTGAACTTGGAATGTCTCACTCATATGTGTTCTGTTATCTAAGCTTTAGAGTCTGGTTCTTGTTTTAATTATTCATTGTTGAGATTCTCTGTTACATCTGAAGTTATTAGTTCCCTCATCATTCTGTAAACCAAGAACACATGCCTTCTCTTTTGAAGATTCCAGGAACTGATTGTTATTAGAATCAAAAGGAGTGTTTTCATTTAGTAATTCCCCTTGTTTTACACACCATACCCATGAGGAAATATGTAGAAGGAGCAGTTTGTATGAAGATGTTGATGCTCCGGAATACCAGTAGACAATTATATGTATTCTATGTACAGATGTTTGACTTCCGAACCATGTTTCCACAACCCATGTGTGGGCTTTGTTGGTGTCCTGAAAGATAAAATGATGCCCCTCTGCCCACAGTGTGCTCCTTTATCAGACAATGTCAACACTCCTACCTCATGGTGGTTTTTGGATGAACACTTGTTCGTTAGTGGAACTCGAGTGGCACAGGAATATTTGGAGAAAACCCATTATCAATTTTCTTTTTTGCAAATGCTCCATTTAAAATGCATGTATATTTGCTTTTCTTAAAACTCCCTCACTAGAGTTCATGATTGATTTCTTTATTGATTGTAATCTGAAAAGTGACAGATTCTGATTCACCAAAAATTTGTTTAGATCTCGGAATCCGCCCTCAAAAGGACTGCTTCGACATATACAATACTACTATGCACATCACCTCCTATGTTAGTTTACTCCTTAAGGACAGAGCAAATGTACAAATTCTGACCAAAACAAAGAACTTGAGCTATGTCAACTATTGTTCAGTTCTTTCATATTAAGTGCACCTACACTTGATATATCATTTTGTTCAGAAGAAACAGGGCTTGCATACCAAAATTAAATATTTATATATGAAACAATTAAATTTTTTTTTTTTTTTTATTCTGCATGACATTTTAACTGTGAATTTCATAATACGGTTAGCTTTTACTAAAATAAGACATTTGTACATAGCGCTTGCAAATTAAATTTGGTATTTCTGCATGGGTTGTCAGGCAGGTCACAATATACAATTAACAAAATTATATATTTAATATCAAAATACACTTAGAATAGATATATTTTTATTCCAACTGTACTTTTTATGCACAATCATTTTTTTATTAATTATAAGTTGTGGATCTGCCCAACAACCCAGGTCCCCCCTGCAGTGAATAAGCCACTGAAGCTGATCCGTGTCATTTGATGGCAGCGTCGTGAGAAGATGACGCGGATGACCATCGTGACCAGGGGAACGGCCTCAGTCGTCAGGCAGTCCCACCGATAGCGATCATCACAGAGAGTACCTGGGCTGGGGGTAGGAGATCATTAGGGCGTGCTAAGCCCACCTTTTGTAGGATGGCATAGCATGCCTTGCGTCATTAAGGGGTTAAGCTATTGGGAATAAAATAATCATTTTAAATACACAAAAAATGCGAGACATTAACATATATGAAAGACACATGGGACATGTTTCCTAATTGAAATAATCAGCATTTATTCTTTTACAACAGCTAACAGAATATGGACAGCTCAGAGTTATAAAGAAAATATTTATGTTAAAGACCATGCTCCATTACAAGATAGAATTTCCTATGGCAAAAGCCAATAAAAAAAAAATAAAATAAAAAAATAACCCCACAGACAGTAATGCTATATTATAAATTCTTATATAAAAAGCACACAGACTAACATTTCAAATTATGAGGAGTATTGTTTTACTTTTATTGCCCCAGAAATTAAATGTTTTATGAAACTGGGGGCTGCCATTAAATTATTTTTTTGGTTCTTTTTGAATTGCAGCCTTTTCTGATTGGTTGGATTGTGTTTTACCCAACAATGGTTCTTTAATACGCAACCTACGGAATATGCAGGAATAAAAGATATACTGCAGTGAAACCGACTGCAATTAGGCAATGTGTGTGCAAAAAAAGTTTATGGTCTAAGTGCTGGGAAATACACACAAGAGTTTCTGTATCTTATTGGGCCCAAGACACAGTGCACCTAGCAAGCATTTAAACAGCAAGTGGAAGAAAAGTGTTTTAGCATGCCTTACTTCCAGAGCTGCCAAGTCTATCCTGCATTATTCACATCATGCTGTGCCTTTTCACCTAGTCACAAATACTTCATTCAACTGAATAGCAAAATTTAGAACATTTAAAATATACCAAATGTATTTAGAATAGTACTGCTAAGATAAGGTTTCATTTTATATCAGGGCTGTCCAACCACGTCCCTCAATTGTTCGACTATACTTCCTTGCTGTTTTTTGACATTGACAGGATTATGCGAGTTCAGGAAAAGTAGTTTGCAGTACTTGGTCCTACTAGAAAAAGAATTGTATCCCAACAATTAAATACTCAATTGCCATAGAGCAAAAAAAAAAAAAAAAAACCCTTTCAGTTGTTAAAATACATTTCCTACGATTCACTTGTATAGAATTATGGGTACTGTAGTCTAAAACGGATATTGGGACAAGTTGGACAATCCCGTAAGTGAAAATGAAGAGACAGACAGAGATAGAGCATGTAATCATTGACAAAAAAGGGACACAGTGAAGAGCCCTCCCAATAGGAGGAAACAATGTGATTACGCTCGTGAGAATCTTTCAGAATTCAAAACATGTTTATATATAATGTGTTGATGCTGTAATCAACTTTTCATTAGTTAACTTTACTGTTGTATTGGAACTGGTTACTTATAATTAAGGCATGTCATTGTCGTCATATTCTGATGCTGCACAGATTGGTCAAGCTGCTGACAAAACATTCACGTGTTCACACATGATCCTCCGTAACTGCACCATTAGCTTTCATAACCAGAACTACAAGTTCATGTTGAGGGATTAATTTGGGAGAAGTTCTGCTTGCTCCAAATTCTCACCTCAGCTGAATTACTGTGGCAGGTTCAGCAATATCGACTGCCCACTAGGCAAGTAGGTGACGTTACGAGACCGTGAAAGCTGGTATGCAATGTCTTCAGCAGCCTCCAGTTTTCGCAACTCTATCAAGCCATCACCCACATCTGCTAGTGACACAGCAATTAATTCAGCAGCTTTGGAGTCTCCTTCAGCGGAGATTATAGCGGCTTTCTTCTGCTGCTCAGCCTATGGAGACGGTTGAAAGCGTTAATGCCAAGAATACATACTTTGAACAAAAAATAGCCTGTTCTACGCCTTTGCTGATAAGTCACTGCAGAATCAATGCAAAATGACTGTGTGTGGCTCCCTGTATACACGGTGCTGTCAAAATAAAATGGTCTTTCCTGTATGCATTACCTAGGTAATATTGAGAAGGAACGTATACTTCTGTTTGCAGGTTATCAAATGCTTCTGGGCCAGATATCTTTTTCCTATATAACCATTAGTGAGCATGTGTGTGTGTGACATCACAGGTTCAATAACTTCTCATAATACATTACCAGCCGCATGCACAATGTAGTCATTAGCAGCACCTTAACCCTAACAGATTGCACTCACTTGTTTGTTATTTTTTTTCTTACCCAAGTCATCTACCTCGTGACAACATATGGATTTAAAAGAGTCTTTATTAACCTGGGGTTACGGTGAAAACTACAGCAAACCATAATTGTGGACATGGTTTTATTCTTTCTAAATAAAGAGATGGAAGGTAGGTCGGGCAGAATCAGGATGTGTTTCAGCACTTTTATTAAGGCAGAAACGTTATTTTTCATTGTATACATCCGGCTGTTTAGGATCCTGATGCCGCAATGTAAATTAAGAGACTAGGCAAATGTTTCTATTTGTTGCTCTCATTCAATGAATGCTGTACCAGGTTTATCAAAATGTACAAGCAAAACTCTGTTGCACAAACAATTGTACATCCATACTACACTGATCAGCCACAACAATAAAACCTTCAGCCTAATATTGTGTAGGCCCCCCTCATGCGTCGCATACGAAATCAGGACATGGAGCTCCCTCAAGTCCTGGGTATTTTTGGATGCCTTGCCACCTCTTTATTCACCCCTCCAAATAGCTCCCTGTTTGGTGGTCCTGGGGCTACCTTGATGAAGCTTGGCCGGACCACGACAACCCCGCGATCTGATCTACAGTTCCAGGAGATTCTTGGGGAGTATGGACTCCACAAGACCTCTGAACATGTCCCGTGAAATCAGGCAAGTCCTTTAAGTCCTGCAACATGCAAGGTGGGACCTCCAAGGAATTGGATTTGTTGTTCCAGCACATCCTACAGATGCACAACTGGATTGAGATCTAGGGAATTTGGAGGCCAGGGCAACACCTTGAACTCTTTGGCATGTTCCTCAATCCATTCCTGAACAATTTTTGAATTGTGGCAGGGTGCATTATCCTGCTGAAAGAGGCCACTGCCATCAGGGAACACCATTGCTATGAAGAAGTGTACGTGTCAAAGTAACATCCACATGAATGCCATAACCCAAGATTTCCCAGAGCATAACACTGCCTCCACCGGCCTGCAGTGAATCCTGCTGCCATCCCTAGGCAAACTATTGAGACCACCTTGTCACTTTGGACTAGTTCATGTTTCCCAGCCACCACCTTCTCCTGAAGGATCTATAATCACCCACCAGAAGCCCCTTCTACAGTGCCTCAGCACCTTAACAGCAGCCCAGAGACTTGCGAGGGACTCTCACAAGTACAACGTGCCCAACCAGGAGCTACCCAAGAATCTCCTGGAACTGTAGATCAGATCGCGGGGTTGTCGTGGTCCGGCCAAGCTTCATCAAGGTAGCCCCAGGACCACCAAACAGGGAGCTATTTGGAGGGGTGAATAAAGAGGTGGCAAGGCATCCAAAAATACCCAGGACTTGAGGGAGCTCCATGTCCTGATTTCGTATGCGACGTGACCAGAACTTTCCATCCAGCGCTCTGGAACTTGACGCTAGATTGAAGGATGCTCGCAGCTTGGTCAATACTTACCTCCCGGACTACTTGATCTGAGCGCTTTTTGAACTGAATATCTGTCAAGGGTAGAGTTTTCCCAGATGTGACACCAGATTGGGGATGTAAGCAAGAGAACATGTGTTTCCGGGTAAATAATGCGTAGGCACCCAGGTGTCTGATCTTTAATAAAATTATCCTGCTATGTCCAGACACCAGGGTTGCAACATGCATTGTGCAATACTATGGTTTTGTTCGTGGTCCCCGTTGGGAACTAGTGTATAAAAAGGCGACAGTCGTCCAATAAAAAGTGTGTGTTTACCCTTACATCAAGTCTCAGCTATAATCTCTCTGGGGGCTTTCACTAAGGAAGAAAGGGAGTCCGTGGCGGCAATACTCTGATCACCTAAGAGGTCAGAAACGACGCACCCGCACATCTACCTTATCTAAAACAAAACATGTCGGACCAGATAATCTTCCATTGCCCAGCGGTCCAGTTCTGACTCTCACGTTCCCATTGAAAATCTTTCAACAGTGGGAAGGGGTCATCATGTGCACTCTAAACAGTCTGACTATGCAGTAAACTGCAATACACTTCTGAAATTCTATAATGGCTAGCATTACAGGGACACTATAGTCACCAGAACAATTACAGCTTAATGTAATTGTTCTGGTGAGTATTGCTAGTCTATGCAGGCTTTTTGCAGTAAACACGGTCTTTTCAGCGAAAAGGCAGTGTTTACATTACAGCCTAGGGACATCTCCAGTGGCCACTGCTCAAAAGGCTACTAGAGGTGCTTCCTGAGTTAGTGTTGCACAGTTTGACTGACATTCAGTGTTTCCACCATCTGCATGGAGACACTGAACCTTCCACATAGAAATAAATTGATTCAATGCATCTCTATGAGAAGATGCAGATTGGCTATGGTGGCGTTTGGCCCTACCAACTGCCCCACCCCCTTGGCAATCTCAGCCAATCCAATGCTTTCCTAGGGAAAAGCATTGTGATTGGCCAAGATCATCACTTCGGATGATGTCAGCCAAGAAGGCAGATCAGGGGCAGAGCCAGCACCAGCAAACTGGAAAGGTAGTGTTCCTTTAAGCTTTTCATAAATTTGAGCTACAGTAGCATTTCTGTGTGATTGTAGCAGACAGGCTAACCTTCGCTATCCATATGTTTTATCGGTACTCCTTCCTTGCACCATTTTTAGTAAGTACCAACTACTGCATACCAGGAATGCCCAACAAGACTTGCTGTTTTGGAGATGCTCATTTTTCATACTTTCAACACATGAAATTCAATAACGGACTATTCACTTGCTGCCTGATATATCCCACCCCTTGATAGGTGCCGTAACGATATCAATGTTATTCACAACACCTGTCGGTGGTTTTAATGTTGTAGCGGATCAGTGTAAATGAGAAAGGTTTTGACTCACTGTTGCGCTGTTTTTGTTTTAGTCAAATTTTTCAAATAGTGGACAGGAACCAAGATAAGATCAACTAGAGATGAGTCTTCAACTGTATGCCCTTTTCCCTCCAAGAGCTTCCCAAAAGACCCCCCATGTGTATTCTCAAAACCAGAAACTATGGAATTGCAAATTTTAGAACAAAATAGCCAGATTTTAAACTCAGCAATAGACAAATTTGGCGTACAATTTTAACCGGATCAATTCCGGTTTAGTGAATAACGCTATCAGTGACTGCATTCTGTCAGTGTAGAAAAAAAAAAAAAATTTAAAAAAATGAATAAATAAAAACTGTACCTTCTCCACAACAAATCGGGCTCGCTCAGCCTCCTGCTGGGCCACTTGCTTGGCTTCTACAGCATCAGTGAACTCTCTACCAAATGTCAAGTGAGTCTGTAGAAAGAATGAGCAGATATGTTTATTAATGTAATCAGTCAAGAGTCTCCCTGCATTTGAAAAGAAAACCAAATACCTTTCTGTATCCTTTTAATAGCAATTTTAAGTGTAAATCGTGTTTTGATTCTTAATGCCACATTAGGTGCCTAGTTCCTTAAGGGAGAATGTTTTGTAAATTTGCAATATTCTCATTAAACAGAGAGGAAAAACTGCAGATGTGTAGTTTACACAGAATAAACATTCTTTAGACTAGTGATTCCCACACCACTCTAAGACCCAACAACAGTACTGGTTTTATCAGTATCTCCATCAGAATAAAACAGGGAAATACATAAATCCATGATTGCTGGTGAGCCATGAGGACTGATTTGGGATCCACTAGACGATTACCATTTATTTAAAATTTAAAAAAAATAAATAAATAGATTAAATGCCACTGCATGTCTACGGCATTCACTGAAGTTTCTGCAAACCACCTTATCTTACAGGGAATCCAGTGGTATTCTATATAGTGAATATAGTGTAGATGCAAATGGCAAAGTTTCAGCAAGTTCTAAAACACAGCTTCCAACTGCTTACATGGGTGGGATATCATTACGGAATGAGCAGCAAGGACTTGCTAAAACTCCCTCAAGAGGGAAGGGTCCTTTTCTTTGAGTAAACCACCAGAAGGGAACTTTAGAGTAAACAAACAAAACGAAAGCTGCATAGGGACATTCACAGAGAGAGAAGGTACAATGAAAGAAGCATGGGATAAGAGAAGACCCAAAAAGCCAAAAGTGCTGCGGGTCCCTTACAGTCGGTGACGTGCATCCAGACTCTGGAGAGCTGCAGAAGCTGGATGTTGGTTCCACTGTCCCAGAGAGTCAGCAGAACACTTTCAGACAACGACTGCAACTGTGCATAGAAATATACACAGAATGGACTTATGCTATGGGCTAGGCCTAACCGTTATTCACCACTGCAAGCCTGGAAAATTCACAGCATACTAACCAGGAATACATTTTCACTTGCCAATAGCAAGTGTCAAGTGCACACTCCCTAAACACTGAAGCCATAAAGAACTTTAAAAGATATAAGATAATTTTCCCATAAATTTGCATTCGAGGTCTTTCTATGTCTGCACATCTTGAAGCAGCGGTCAGTCAGTACACTTACCAGTGAGACATCATCGAGGATAAGCCCAAACGTTGCAGCTCTCTCTGTAAGGTCCTCACTCACTTGTTTGGAGACAAGCTCTCTCTGGGTGATCAGTTCCCCAGCATCAAACCGGGCCTAAGATGGAAAAGGAGATGGGAAATAGATCTGTTTACAGGAGTAAAAATTCACATTGAAGGGGGAAGATCAGTGCAGAGATCACAGTCTAATGGGGAAAATAAAAAAATAAAAAATAAGGTTTAATGCATTTAAAGGGACAATACTCACCAGAACAACTACAGCTTATTGCATTTGTTCTGGTGAGTAGAAACCTTCCCTTTAAGGTTTTTGTTGTAAACACTGTCTTTTCAGATTCAATTAATCTCTATGAGGAGATGCTGATTGGCCAGGGCTGTGTTTGACTTGTGCTGGCTCTGTCCCTGATCTGCCACCATGACAGTCTCAGCCAATCCTATGGGGAAGCACTGAATGACTCCGACCACGTCTGATTATTTTAGCAGACAGAGGCAGTTCACAGGCAAACAGGGAGAGCCAGACGCTGCAGACTCGAATACAAGTAAGATTTTACTATATTTAGGGAGGCAAGATGGTGGTTTAAAAATGAGATTGCTAGAAACTGATGCAGACCGGTCATCTAATGAAAAGTCAATTAATCAGCAAAGGATAAAAAGTCTACAAATTAACAAGTCAATTTAAGAACTATAATAACAAAGTTAATGGTGTCTAAAATACCCTGACCCACTCTCCTGTTTGAGAGTGGCTTATAACTGCAGTTAGTCCCCCAGCTCAGACATTGCTAAGATGAGATTTACCCTTCTCCTCCCCCCTCACCCACCCCCCTATGATTTTTTTGTTAATCAAATAAAAATATTTAATAGAAATCTGGGGGCAGTGCCCACATAGTCTCTACCTATTGCCAGTACAACGAGCTATATGGGTCATGGTGCTTAGCCTACACAATAATTAGAGATATACACATATTGCAGGAGCTATATTTCTAAATATGAATTATGGGCCAATGGTAAATTGTAGAACACAAAAATATATGCAGATTACTTATTTATGTATTTGCTAAATATTCAGTGATATGTAGTTTAAATTACATTTTCTATAATAGGATTCCATGTCATTTTTCAATGTCAAGTACGCTACAAGGAGTCTACCTTCCCCACTTACCACTACTGATTTGAGAATCTCAGTTGTAATTGATGGAAGTACTCTCTCATCATAGTCCTCTCCAATGCTAGTAAAGATCCGAGGCAACTCACTGACTATAGGCCGGAAAAGGATACGCAGAGTGATGTTGACATTCTGTAGATCTGTGGGACAAATCACCCATTTCTCATTACATACAATCTATTGCAATAAAAAAAAAGTTGGTATCATATACAAAAACACTTGCACATCAATGACAATAGGTTTTTGTTTTCATGAGCAGCTTAAGGTGGACGTAAAGAGACACCATAGGCACCAAAGCAACTTTAGCTTAACGAAGCAATTTTGGTGCATAGATCATGCTCTGCAGTCTCACTGCTTAAATTTTCTGCCATTTAGGAGTTGAATCAATGTTCATACAGGCCTCGTCACAGGTCCCTGACTGTGACTTGTACAGTCTTTCTGTGCTCTTCCTGTAAAGAGTAATCTAAGGTTTAGAATTCCTTTATTGCACATTCTGTTTACTACCTCCTGTTCTGTTAATAGCTTGTTAGACCCTGCAAAAGCCTCCTATATGTGATCAAAGTTTGATTTACATAGCAGGAGATTAAAACTTAAAAAAAAAAACATGTTGACATTTTTTACCACTGCACCTAGGCCACTTCATTGAGATGAAGAGCCCTCGATGACTTTAGTGGTCCTCTAATGCGAGAAACTATGCTATTAGTCTAAAAAAGCAAATGCATCAGAAAAATAAATACATGCTAGTCAAGTCACATCCGTACAAAATATGCAGCAACACAGATTATTTTGGCTTTCTTGGGCTTCATCAGTGAGGTACAACTGATGTCAATCTAGAAATAGTAAGAAAAGGGTCCATGTATAGATTATCCTTCAGACTTAAAGGAACATTCCACTGACCATATTGGCAAAATATATAAATAAGTGGTTAGTACATACATCTCCCATGTATACATGCATTATCATGTACGTATTAACTGGGGGTATATCTTGCAACAGTTAGCAAAAGCTGCAGTTCTTTTGAACTCACTTTTTCCCTGGAAGAAACTTTCAGTCTGTTTGCAGGGAAATTGAGAATCTTATAAAGGGCTCCCTTTGTGCATGCACAAGCAGTATACTCGACGCTAGTCTGAAGTATGCAGGGGGAGAAGCAGACGCGCTCCAGTAGAGCACACCTGCCACTTCTGTTAGCTCAGGGGTACTAATGGAAGCAGGAAAGTTCTGATATCTAATATAAAAACGGTCATTATCAAGGGATACTGAATTGCCTTATAGGTGTGGGGTGGTCCTTTAAGGAAACACAAATATATGTCACTAGAGCATCTACTCACCTTTGCTCCCAGTAATAACAGGAACATTGCGAGGACGGGAACGGCAGTCAAAAATAAATGGCCTTTGCACCCATGGAATGATGAAGTGTGTCCCCTCATCGGACACTATATCCTGTATCCCTCGAAATCTGTCAAAGATGACAGCACGATGTCCAGCATCAACTTGTAGAGGGAGGGGAAAGACAAAAACGATCATTAATAATTTGTTTTAACAAACTTGTACCACGCTCTCTTTAGTCCCAATCTTTCTTCAGGTTAGTCCATAAGTTAGGGCACAGTGAAAGCCCGTACAGAAAAGGTAGAAAACTAGCAGAAATAACTGGTGTTCCCCCGTTGGAGGAATTCATCATGGAAACCTCTAAGTTAGTGTAACTATGTACCAGAATAGGGAAATTACTAATGTCGCCATAAAAGAACAGTGTGGTGTGGGATAAACTGCAATGTTGATTAAAGAGATTAAAGTACATGACCTGCTTTAATATACCTACTTACCATTATATAAAGCAGAGTTCACCACTCCACCAACCACAGCCAATCCCAGGCCAAGTTTGCCAATTCTCTCAAAGAGCCGCGCTGCCATGTTTTAGTATATGTTCTTCTGTAAAAAGTAAAGAGAGAGAAATTTTGGAATACGTATTGAACAATTGGTTTAAAATAAACAGAAATCCCAATACAGTGATATTACCTAAAAAAAAGAAAAGAAAAAAAAAACCCGAGCATGAGTTTCCCCTATCCAATAATTTATTATACACCCAAGACACCTCTGACCTGGGCATTCAGCTTATCTTCCCAGTTGCAATCAACCTATCCCCATACACAAATAGTTAAAGGACCACTATAGGCACCCAGACCACTTCAGCTCAATGAAGTGGTCTGGGTGACAGATCCCTCTAGTTTTAACCCTGCAGCTGAAAACATGGCAGTTTCAGAGAAACGGCTATGTTTACACTGAGGGTGAATCCAGCGTCTAGTGGCAGTCTCCCTGACAGCCACTAGAGGCCGCTTCCGCTCTTGCCACGCGTGCACATTCTGCGCTGACGTTGGCAGGAGGAGGAGAGGTCACCAGCCCCACGCTGGATTAAAGCAAGTGGCTGAAGGGGTTTTAATCCCTTCAACCCAGCGGGAGGGGGGCAAATAACCATATAGTGCCAGGAAACAAGTTTGTTTTCCTAGCACTATAGTGGTCCTTTAATCGTTAAAGTGTAAATGCCAGGAAAACAAAATAAACTTAAAATTTTAGGTCAAACTAACAATTACAAGCATAGCTGACTTAAATGGAGACTATACCTACCCAGACCACTTCAATGAGAGTGGCTATAGTTTGGATGTAGTGACCCTGTCCCATCACAGAAACTGCAATGTTTACATTGCTGAGCTAAGACTGCTTCTAGTGACTGCCTCCCAGACAGCCACTAGAGGCACTTCCTGGAGTTTCACAGACTTGGACAACCTCACGCTCTGCATTAGGACATCCAGCGTCCAGAAAATCCCCATAGGAAAGCACTGAGGCAATGCTTCATACGGGGATGGCCTAATGCATGCGCGGCACTCACACTGCATGCGCACAATGTCCCCCCCCCCATTACCGATGTCAGTAGACGGCGTCAGGAGCTTGTCACTGGAAAGAGATACGTTTAAAGTTTATTTTATTTTTTTAACCTTTTAACATGGAGGGAAGGATGCACCATACAATAACTTTAGGGCTGAGGAACACTATAGAGTTAGCAGTTAAAGGTACATTATAGTCACCCAGACCACTTCAGCTCAATGAAGTGATCTGGGTGCCAGGTTCCTATAGAGTTAACCCTTCCTGATAAAAACATAGCAGTTTCAAACAGCCACATTTGCAATGACTGAGGCATATTATGCCTTAATCACACAGAGCGTCCATAGGAAAGCATTGCACATTCGGCTCCTGTGACGTCGGACGAGGATGCTGACGTCGGCGGGGGAGGAGAGGTAAGGGAGCCCGGCGCTGGAATTGGGTGAGTTACTGAAGAGGTTTTAACCCCTTCAGCGCCGCGGGAGGGGGACCCTGAGGGTGGGGGCACCCTCAGGATACTATAGTGTCAGGAAAACCGGATTTGTTTTCCTGACACTATAGTGTCCCTTTAAAAACAGTTTTGTTAGGCATTTAGTTTGTTATTAATAATAGTTTTGGAATCCTAATGCTATAGTGTCCCTTTAAAGAATGTTTTGTTAGGCATTTAGTTTGTTATTAATAGTTTTGGAATCCTAATGCTATAGTGTTCCTTTAAAGAATGTTTTGGAGTTCAGCCACCTAGGCCTGAGACTAAACACTGACATTGAATTATCGATAATTCCCACATTACTGAAGAACCCTGCTAGTCAATAACACCATTCTGCAGGTTTCATAATATATGGCACCTCCATGGCGCCAACATAGTCAGCAGCGCAGCATAATAGAGAACACACATACACAGGTCTGCCTTCACTCACCTCTTCCAGCTCTGACCTCCACATCAAGCACGCTTCTCCGCACGCATGCGCAAACACCGCCGCCTCCACGCACTCTGTACGTCTCCGTCGCAAGCTGCGTCGCGCATTGCACCGCGGTACTTGTAGTCTGTCGCTTCTTCCGACTGAACGGGTTGCTTCCGCTTTTAAACTACAATTCCCGAACGATCCATTCGAACGCGATGGGTTGTTGACAGGCTGTTTAGCTTTTAACCTATGTCTTCATGTTGAAGGCACGTGACGTCATGTCACCGGCAACCATTTTTGATTAGGGAATTAATCTCATTTGACTTCATATCATAATGTAACACATACAGATTCCCCCCCCCCCTTCTTGTCCAATGCAAAAAAAATGGAATAAAAATTGCTTAAATTATATTTTATAACAATATTTAATATACAATAAAATACATGATATATTTATCACGTGAAGCCTTTAAATACGTACATATATTGTGTAAATGCGTACATTTACTGTGTTAACGCATGCGTTACAATAAGTTTAAATATGTGGATGTAGTACATGGGGACGTCTGACGGTACTAAATTGAATGACATGGGTAAACGTCAGGGTAAAATATTAAAATTTATTATAATTGGCGTTTAAATAACGCCAACGTAATCTGCAATGCGTTACAATTTTAATATGCAGATATAACAGCTAATTAGAAACACACTATTGCAAATAATAATATGACAACACCGCAAAACAGATCACATAAAATATTTAGACATTATTGAAAATTGAACATTTCTACGGCCTTTACCGTCTGTCAATCACCCGTCTGTCATTTTGTACACCATCCGATAAACAGCTAGGGTATTACTGACTAAATTACTAAATTGAGGCTAAACTATCCAAGCTGTGACTATCGCTGCCTTGAAGAATTTTTCCAAATCAGATTTTTTTTTTAGGTTGAGTTTTGTAATTCAGGTATCTCTGTGTTTTATTACACAGGAACCGGAATATTTCTACAGACTATACCTCCAATGAGGTATGCAAAATAGGACATGGGTGCTTTCGCACAGCACAAAATGGTGGATCTGCCCAGAAAAGTTGGGGACCCTACCGAAGAAGGGCTATGTCAGCCTGGCATAAATTCACGCCAGGCTTACTTAGTTCATTAAGGGATATCCATGAGCAGAGCACAGTGACAGCGCTCTGTTCATGGTCCTAGTCCAGGCATAGGCAGCCTTCGGCAATGCAGATGTTTTGGACTACACCTACCATGACGCTTTGCCAGCATTATGTGTGTAAGTGTATTATGAGAGATGTAGTCCACAACAGCTGGAGTGCCGAAGGTTGCCTATCCTTGTCCTAGTCTAATAATGTGTTCGCGCTGTGTTTTCTGGAGCCGTTCCCGGGTGTTGGCAGGCCTGCTTAGACATTGAGCAGAACTCCTGCCCGATTTCTTGGTTACACTGGGAAACTGAATTCTCCTCTGAACTGGAAGTACGCCTGCCGTGTAAAAATTGTATAATTAATAATTTATAGATATTAAAATAGCATTCAAAAAACTTATATAACAAGTGGAAAAAATGATTATCTCCAATATTTTCAAATATAAATTGCTGCCCCTTTAAAGTGTTAACCCAACAAATACACGCTCACAACTTGAAAGAGAAATGAAAAACGGTGCATAGTGTCTTTAAGACCAACATTTTCAGTGAAGACCCAAACTCTTTTTGTGCAATAATGCAATAACTTAATAAAGTGGAAAAAAAAACCTTTATACAGCACTTACAAATTGCTAGTAGAATTAATAATTCATAGATATTAAAATTTTATATTTCGTATTGATGAAATTATGTTCACAGTTGAAGTTTACAGTTTGCAATTGGAATTTCTATGCCTATATCAAACCTATAAATGACATTAAAAGATGCTAATCAGTCGGTTAGTGTTTACCAAAAATCTTTAGCGTTCTGCACTGTACATTGTGGGATCATTCAATAGGCACAGCATGGCAAAAAGTCAAACCAATTGAATCTATATATTTTCTTTCAAAAACACCTATTTTTGTCTTGAGCAGCTTCTCTTGTAAACATATTTTTACAGCTTGGAGTTTCAGCTGAAAGAAGCTCAGTTAAATGACTACTATAGGGTCAGGCACACAAACATGTATTCTTGACCATATAGTGTTAAAACCACCAACTAGCCCACCTGACCCACCCTTGCCCCCTAAATATAGCAAAATCTTACTTTTATTGAAGTCTGCTGCTAGCTCTGCCACTGATCTGCCTGCTTGGCAATGCCTCCCCATAGGATTGGCTGAGGTTGTCAAGGAGGCAGATCAGGGGCAGAGCCAGCATGATTCAAACACAGCCCTGGCCAATCAGCATCTCCTCATAGAGATGAATGGAATCAATGAATCTCTATGAGGAAAGTTCAGTGTGTGCATGCAGAGGGAGGAGATACTGAATGTTTGGATGCATTTTAGGTAGCCATGACCCAGGAAGGATCTCTAACAGCCATCTGAGGAGTGGCCAGTGAAGTTATCACGAGGCTGTAATATAAACACTGCATTTTCTCTGAAAAATCCGTGTTTACAGCAAAAAGCCTGAAGGTAATGATTATACTCACCAAAACAAATACAATGAGGTATAGCTGTTCTGGTGACTATAGTGGAAGGGAAATATTTTTGCCAAAAATAATATACTCGTCCCCGAGATTCCATTTTATGTTTTAAAATTTGCAGGTAATAACCCTTAACTTTATTCCAACAATGAGACTCAGTCCATGCAGCTGCCTGTTGCACCTCCCGAATTGTTTCTATGTCTGCTAACCCCTCCGAGATCTCGTCCAATCAAATGCTTCTCCTAGAGATGCAGGGAATCCAATGTTTGTCTATGAGAAGCATTGATTAAACGTCAACACTCGTGCAATGCGTGACGACATTGAACTCCAAGAACCAAGTCTGACTCTGTTCTCACTGTGGAAGCACCATCTAGTGGCTATGTTTAGTCATGCATGCAACATTTTGATCGATTGAACATAGCTCAGTGAATTGTGTACTTTATTGTAAATCGGTGAAACAACATACCCATTTTGTATTTTCCAAATTTTGGTTATGCCACGATTTTATTTGCATTATTTTACTTTGGAAATTTGCTTTGTTAATTAAATTCTCACACTAAATTACAGACACACAGCATATACTTAAAGGGACACTGTAGGCACCATAACTGCTTCATTTCATTGAAGTGGTTATACTGTCTGTAGTCCCCTGATACTGTCCTTCTATTCAGTATAATACAGTATTTAACCCCTTAAGGACACATGACGGAAATATTCCGTCATGATTCCCTTTTATTCCAGAAGTTGTGTCATTAAGGGGTTAATGTTTTAATGCTAAACAAGAGTCCCCAGCAGCCAAACTAATGAGGAAGGGTTAGCATGAGCAGCAATGGACATCTATGATTGGCTGCGAATACCAGTTGTCCACTTTCAGCCAATCACATTGCTATTGCAGGGATTCATTTGTATGGCTACAATCAAGTGTGTAACTTCTGCCTTAGCCACACATGCAGTAGCCATGGGAAGCCAGGGACCCCGCATTCAATGTTAAACTGTTCAAAATTGGTTTAAAATTAAATGGAGGGACAGTGCCGGGGGACTCCAGGCACAAGCAGTTCAATTGATTGAAATGGTTATATTGCCTACAGCACCCCTTTAAGGGTTTTAATAGATAATGGAACATTGAGAGCAGTGGGTGCAGGAAAGGATATGAATTCTCTCTATCTAAGAAATGGAGAATAAAATAACTTATGCAAGTGTATGTATTAGTGTATGGATGTTAACATACCTCCCAGCTCTGGCGTCCAGAGAAGGGGGACTCTGGTGGCAGGGCTGTAAAGGGTGTGGGCAACACTGGCTTCGCCCCGAGCGAAATTACTGGCAGGTCTTCATCACTCAAATCTGTGTCCCTGTAGTCATGCCCTCTCTCTCTCCCTCTCTCCCTCCCTCACTAACCCCATCCTTGCCCTCTCTCTCTCCCTCCCTCCCTCACTAACCCCATCCATGCCCTCTCTCTCTCCCTCCCTCCCTCACTAACCCCATCCTTGCCCTCTCTCTCTCCCTCCCTCCCTCACTAACCCCATCCATGCCCTCTCTCGCTCCCTCCCTCACTAACCCCATCCACACATTTAAACCATGCACTCCCCATCTGTCACTTGCCCAGATACTCCTTGTCTCATGCAACTGTACTTGAGTGACTTGCTCAAATGAATCCACTCTCTCCTTCCAAATGGCACGTAACCATTTTGCATGTTCTGTGCGTTGATGTTTCTCCAGTTATTCCAGGTTTTTTCAAATGCATGTTGTCAGCACAAGTAGAAAGAGATTTTGGGATACGGAGGAGTGTCCCTGCCCACCTGTAAGGTTGCCACATGGCCGCTATTGTGGCTGTCTGATTGATGCCAGTATTGCAAAAATAGCAGCAATGCACACGCTGGTATTTATCTCTGATTAGACGCTGGGAAAGCGGTGAGAGAAATGTAGCCTAAATATCAGCCTCTATGGTACATACACACAATGGCACACACACACTCAGACACAGTATACACACAATAACACCCACACAAAGTATGCACAAACTTTGAAAAAGTTTACAAACAATAACACACTGTTATACACACACACTCAGACATAGTACACACATATACACACACTGCGTTACACAATGAGACAGTATACACACCAGTGGCGGAACTACCGCCAGTGCAGCCATTGCACTGCACTGGGGTCCACACGTTCACAGGGTCCTAAGTGCATGGACCACCCGATTGCAAAAGTGTTATCAGGGGCCCGGTCAGCGCTGTGGCCCTTTAACAGGGTGACCGGGCCCCTTGTGATTTAGGCAGCGCTGGAAAGGAAGTGACAGACGGTTATTTTCTCCCAGATAACACAGACTGCACGGTAGAGGCAGAGAGGAGAGTGAGCGGGGTGGGAGAAGCCACACTCCTGCAGTGGCTTAAAATGTGTATAACGTCTGCACTATCATGGTTACTGAAGTAGTCAGGAGACTCTGTACATTAATATCATCACTAGCAACCGAGCTGTCACCCCATGTAACAAGAAACCACAGCTTAATGGAAAGGAGCCTTGACAGGGCTAGGAGGTCGGGC